GAGTGCTGTCTCTCTCTCTCTCTCTCTTTCTCTCTCTCTCTCTCTCTCTCTCTCTCTGTTTACATCTAAGATCTAGTTATTCTCTCAGATGTGACTCCAGGAGCACGTCCTCCATGAAGCTGTCTAATAAAAACAGAAAATCGGATTTCCTGGGTGTATCTTCATCATCCTCCCCCAGGTACTCTGAGGTCCCCCGGCTCCATCTTGCTGGTGTTTGCTGGCGTACACCAGCACGACTCAGCACAGCTCTCCACCCGTGCCAGGCCCACCTCTTTCTGGTAGTTGTCCGCAGCTGGAGAAAGCACTCATGTGCCAACTCCTCTTACTCTCTGACCATTCATGGCCCTGGACTTCCAATGGGCATGGCTCTCACGCCATACTTATATTTGTTGCTCTCCTGCTCACCCCAATGGCTGTTTCATATATTTTTTCCCGGTTCTCAACCCCTGACGGAGCTCCCTCCCCATCCTCACCATCTCCGAGGGTGACTTTTTGTCCTAATTCACCTAGAAAATGGGAGCAGTAGTCGAGAACATACACCGCCAAGCTGTGTACCACCCAGATGTTGCCTCTCCCTGACACTCAGCCTTCTTCCTTCCATGACAGAGGGTGACCCAGCTGCCAGCCCACTTGTGCATGAAATCTCATTCTCATCCTCACGTGCCTGTTCAAGAACATGGCTCCGGCCCCGGTGCTCTCTCTGCCTCTGATGTCCTCAGTGTTTCCCTCGGCACGTAGACATGCTCTTATTCCCCCCCACCGTCTATTACCTATTCCCACCCTCCTTTCTGTCTCCCTTTTGGAGCAGTATTTTGCAAAATATTGCCTGCACTAACATTTTATAAATCCCTTCCTCCCCTTCTCTCCTCCGCCCGTTTTGGGCAGGCTTCTGTCTCCGTCACACCCCTGAAAATGCCCTTGTCAGCATCACCTGTGACCACCATGTTACTGAGCCCACCGGTCAGGGCTCAGTCTGTGTCCTCCTTGGACATCCACACCTTTGACGTGAGCATCACTTCTTTTCCTGGGTGTAACTGTCATCGATTTCTAGAACATCACCCTCTCTGCATCTTCTCCCCTTTTTCTGGTCTTCCCTTTGAGTTTCTCTTTGGTGGCCCTTTTTTTTTTCTCTCTCTCTCTCTGACAAGTTAACATTGAAATGCCTTGGCCCAGGTTTGGCAAAACCTTGGTTTGCCTTCCCTCTGCCTTTTTCTCAGTGATCTCAACCAGTGTAATGAATCCCATATGGATTCCAGGCTCAAACCACTTTCCTGAACTCAAGATTCTTGCATCTAACTGCCTATTTGACGTTGCCGTATGGGTATGTACTAGACGTTGAACTCCACAGTCCAAAATAAAAACTCCCGATTGACCCCCTCCCTTCAAAGTATCTGCTCCGCCCACCGTCCACCTTGCTTCATTTGGCGGCAGCTCCATTTCTCAGGTGCTCAGGGCAAAAGACTTGGGAGTGTTTCTTTCTCGTATGTCTCACATCCAGTCTGTTGGGAACCCCTGTTGGTTCCACCATAACAGTGTTTCCAGACTCCAACCACGTGTCCCCATCTCTGCTGCCATCCCCCACATCCCCCCCACCACATGTCACCCACACTCCCATCATCACAGGACTCCTGCTTTTCACCTTGGCCTCCCAACCCCCCCCCCCCCCTGCCCAGCCTGTCCTTAACACAGGAGCCAAGGCAGGTTTTTAGAAAGATCGATCGGACGGTGCTCTTTACCCAAGGTGGTAACCTCAGGGCACATTCCCTTGCTGCCTTTCCATCTTGAATCTGGTTTTATTCTCACTGAACTCCACCCTGACCACCTACTCCAAAATGCAACGGCATCCTTCATGCCTTATTCTGTGTTTTCTTTCCCTGTATCACTTAACTCTTTCTGATAAAACATATAACTAACTACTTTTAATTTTTTTATTGGAGTTCAATTTGCCAACATACAGCATAACACCCAGTGCTCATCCCATCAGGTGCCCCCCTCTATAACTAACTACTTTATGTTGATTGTGAAGAGTTTGTCTTTCCCTCTAAAAGCAAGGTGATTTGTCCTCTGCATTCACTGATGTATCCCAAGGTCATAGAGAAATGCCTAGTGCATGGTGAGCCCTGAGTACACTGAGTGCGTAAAGGGCGGCAGTGCTGTCCTCCAGTCATTACAGTGCACATTAATGTGCAACATGGGTTCGCCCTCATTTTTAGCGTCTTTGAATAGGTGAATATGTTTACCAAGTTAACTGACTCTTAGCACTCTTTTTCTGCACTAAACCTTTAAAAATCCACCTTAAATATGTGACTCGGTGAGTGAATAATGAAACGAAATCAAGCAAAACACAGGAGCGCTGTGTCAGGCGGTGTCCCCTCGCGGGAAGGACTGTAGGATGGGTACAGGACGCAGGGTGCGGGTGGTCGTTTTCACAGGTCACTCCAACGTGGGGCCCCTCGAGCTGCCCAACTGCGTTCATTTGTCTGCCCTTCCTGACATCTTGCCCCGGGCAGTGATGTCCTGCCGCAAGCTCAGCGGCCACCCCACAGGGACACCGGGTCACAGGCTTGGAGGGAACAGCATATCTGCTTACGCTTGGTGAGCAGCTGGAGTGTAAGGCTGGGACTCGGTGTTTTTCTGCTCCTGGGTCCAGGCCCGCAGCCGGACAAAGGGCAAACCAAAGAGGCTGAGGCAGGTGCACGCACGCAGAGAAATGACACACGGGGGGCAGGCCAGGGTCACCCGCTGCTGCCCTGGCTCCCCACAAACACAGCAGGGAGGCCAGAGGCTGGCTCAGCCCTAGACCGGCCTTCTCAGAGCGTCCCTAAGCTGGCCTCAGCCGCTTCTCTCCAACAGGTATTTTGTGAGTCAAACGAGATCATGGGTGTGAGCGAGCTGGTGCCCTGCTTCACACAACAAATTTGAAAGACGTGTCTTCAGAGTGTCCCGGGAGCAGTGGCTGCTTCTTATCGTGTGGGGCGACCAGCTGCCTCCTGTCTGCGGGGCCTGCAGCCTCCTCCCCTGCCCCCGTGTTGCCGCCACAGGCATGGCCCCTGCCCCAAGCCCAGGAGCTCCCCTCTCAGAACCTCAGGGGCTTCGCTGGAGGCCAAGTCGTGTCCTCCACAGAAGGAGGTGGCCCGGGTTGAACGGGGCCACACATAGCAAGTACCTCGAGAAACCCGAGGGTTGCAGGGAAGCAATACTCATCAGGGAGCTACACTCGTTAATAATATTAGTTATGTCAACTGTCAACCTGGATTCCTGGTTCAAGAGCAAAGATTGTTTTACCTTCTCAGGTTTCTTTGTCTGCTCCCCCCCCCCCGCCAACACACACACACATTTCTAGAAAAACTCCTGGTCCGCAGAATTAGCAAGTGGCAGGCTGAATGCTTCCAAAGCTGCTACAAAAAAAAAAACAGATTCTGGGCAGCCTGGGTGGCCCAGTGGTTTAGCACTGCCTTCGGCCCAGGTCATGACCCCAGGTCCTGAGATCGAGTCCTGCGTCAGGCTCCCTGCATGGAGCCTGCTTCTCCCTCTGCCTGTGTCTCTCTGCCTCTCTCTCTCTCTCTCTCTCTCTCAGGAATAAATAAATAAAATCTTAAAAAAAAATACAAATTCTTTGCTGCTGGGAAATCACATGCATTCTGTTGTGGGTGGCGAAGCTGTGATCGTCCCTCTTCAGCTGCACCGGCCTCTGCTATCACCAGTTTGCTCAAAGCTTTCCAGGTGGTTTCCTACTGTGTTCCACCTGCTTGGCAGGTGTGGGCGCCAGGGGGGGGGGGCAGAGGAAGTCCATGGGGCCACAGGTGAGACCGGGACCCCCGCATGTGGGGTGACGGGCAGTGAAGCCTTCGCTTCGGCAGGCCTTAGTCCCCTACATCGTCCCCAGGATTGCTCAGCCTGAGTCAGTAGCTACTTTTACTTGAACTATGTGGAGTTTGGGATACGGCTCAGAAGGATGGAGGGAATTTAAGAGGCTTTGACAATTATTATAAGGAAGTTATGAAGTCTGGTGAAAACTTGAAGCAAGGAGATGACACAGACAAAGAGGATTTTTGTAGGATGAGAGTAATAAGGAGGGTTCCCTGTAATTAAGCTCATGCATACGAGTCAGATCATATGTAACAGGAGGATTCAATTTAATACGTTATTGTTGAAAAAAAAAGCCATTCCTGGTGAATATATTCTTACCATATCTTGTTTAATGCTTAGATAAATGCTAATTTTTTTCTTTCAAAGATTTATACATTATTTATCATAAAGTGATTGTCCAGAAAATAAAATAGTTTAAATAATTGAATTTGCAGAACTTAATAGCAGTGAATGTTTATGTCAAGGCTGTGGCAGATTGTGATTTTTGCGGTGCGGTCAATAAATACCTACTATTTTGAAAGGATAGCACAAGTAATTGTTTATATTTTATATATATCTTGGTTTTAATTTTTGCTTTGATGAAATGGAGTTGAATATGGGAGTGCGTATCTTCACATTCTTCATTGCCTCGAATTAGAAAAACTAGAATTTGTTACTTATGAAATTCTTAAATCATGTTTTAGTTAACAGTGACTTATTTCAAAGACTGAAGACAGCTGTTCAATGTCTGTAGAAGTAGCTGCTTATGTTGTAAATTAAATTAACAGTCTGTAGTTTATATGAAACCAGGTAGTTGGTTGTTTCTGCTGTTCGCTAATATGCAATTTTGGAAATTGTCAATTCAAGAACATGCTATAGTGGAAAGTGTTTGGGCTTTGTCATCAGACAGGCCTGGTCTCAACTCCTTGAACTTGCTGTGGGGCCTGGGCAGCTTACCCAAATGCTGCTAACCCTACCCAGTAGGATTGTTGTGAAAATCTAATGCGATATATATATATATATCAAAATCTCTCAATAGAGAGCCCATGAAAGAGTAAGTGCTCAATGAATATTAATTTCCTCCCTTTCTTTCTTCTGCTAGTCCACTTGTGTTTTTAATGGATCATTCCTTACCCTGGATTGTATTGTAGGAAGTATTCTGGATGGATGGCTGCTGGAAACCCATTGCCATAGCCAGCTCTTCTTCAATACTTAAGGATTTACCCTGCATTGAGTAATGAGAATTTCGGTAAGAAAAATTAGATAATGGTAGTATATGGGCTTTTCATAAAATATCTCTTGAATCTCAGATACTTCATAATAAGTTATATGACTCTTCTCCAGAGACCTTAAGATGTCACAGATCCCCGTTCATGTATGGATTATTCTTATTTTGAAAGTAAACAGAAATAGGTCTTCTCACTAACACCCTGATGTGCTCTTCGTGTCATTGTAAATGTGTTATTTCACTTGCCTCACGTTACTTTGTTTTTTGAATTTTCATCTAATCAATGAATTGTGTAGCCTTTGATGACAAGGTCTGGATATTATTCATCTCTTCAGCATAGACTACATGAAGCACAGACTCTCAGTGGTTAAGGTGCCCTCGGAAACTGTAAAGGCTTTGGCAATGTGAAAGAGGCAGGCAAAAGTATCAAAACTGAGGAATTCTAAGATAAGTAAATATGTTCCTAAATCACCGAGAAAAAATTCTTATATATCACTTATTAGGATGGATGGTATAGGGTATCTTTAGTTGGGTCTATTTTTATCCACTTTTAAAATGATATCAGTATATAATTAATTTAATATAGTTATACGAAATTAATATATAAGTAATACCCCTGTCTCAGTAACTCATGTTATTAGTCTGTGCTATATAAAATGTGTTGGACTATTATTGTCAACCACACCCAAATAAAAAAAATTAAAAAAAAGGGAATGAACATGTGATGGAGAATTTAAAGGCAATCAAACAAATACATGCTGAACTGTTAAAAAGGGGGAAAAAAGATGGGAGGGAGGATAAGGATAATAGAAACAAAATAAGGGGTGATTTAGTCTATATGTAAATTGCAAATATGTGAATTTTCTTAAAATTATCATCACTGAAATGCATCCACAGTAGTACATATTAAAGAAATTTGCACCTAGGAGACAGAGCTGGAGGTGGGGAGAGAGCAAGAAGGATAAATTCTGGCTTCACCAATTCTAATAAAGAGCTTGATAAATTTACCTTTTGGAATCTAAAACTATGATAAAATACTATATTAAATATCATTTCTTAACTAAAAGAGTTTTAACCACTTTGCCTGTGACTATATTTTTCAGAAACCACATTTGAGAAGTACTTCCATCCAGTGCTACTTGTGTTTACTTCTGAACAGTCATTTTCTAACTGAGGCTGGCATTCATGTCTTCATTTTGGGGTAAGTTTATCTTTCAGCATAAATATCATCAGTTAATGACCATGGTCATTGTTCCTCAGTGTCTTCTCTACTAAACTGGTTTATGTTCAGTTTGCTTAAATCTTTAGGGAGTAACTATTTGGGGTATGATAGAGGGCAGATTATGGGGACTCAGAGGAGGTTTGGTCAACACGGAGCATCTCTACATTCTGGTAATATTCCAAATGAGTGTTATACATAAGTTGGACCTCTTGGCATTTAGCTAAACTCGGAAATACGTTTTTTTAAATTTATTTTTATTTTTATTTATTTATGATAGTCACACACACACACACACAGAGAGAGAGAGAGAGAGAGAGAGAGAGGCAGAGACATAGGCAGAGGGAGAAGCAGGCTCCATGCACCAGGCACCCGATGTGGGATTTGATCCCGGGTCTCCAGGATCGCGCCCTGGGCCAAAGGCAGTCACTAAACCGCTGCGCCACCCAGGGATCCCCGGAAATCCGTTCTTTATTAATAGCTTAGATGACTTTCACAGCAGTGAAAAATAGACACTAGGGCTTGTCTGTGTTACTTTCTTTATCTACCTCTAGCACTGAAATCTCCCATCCACTGAGCCCTATTGTACTTCAGTTTGAAATGTTTCTTTTTTTTAGGCCTTTCGTTTTTCCTCCTAATAAACACTCATATGTTTCCATGCCTGTTAACCTTTTTCTTCTTTCTTAGATGCAGCTAATACACTACACAATTGGCCCAAAGCACCCAGCCTGTAGTTACATAATATGACCCTGTGCTCAGTTTCCCTTGCTCATGCCTTCCTGGTGTGGGCATCCGTAGATGTGTGCAGGTGCATCTTCCTCACAGGGAAGCCTAGTGTTGGTGCTCTCGCTTCCGTGCTAGATCCACTAGGGAGCAACTGTCTTTCCTCCAGCTTGAGGAATCGTTCTGCAGTCACTGGGTCAGTGTATGAGGCTTTTGTCTCGACGTTAAATTTCAGTTTTACTGAAAGGAGTACGTATATGACCATTCAGACTGGACTGGTCTCAGGCCTGTAATATTTATGAAGAGAGCTACTGCTCGCGTGGTCACAGTGTAAGCAGTGTGTGAGGGGAATTTAATCTGGGGCAGAGAATATTTACTATCAAAATCTGTGCATGAAAAAGATTGTTGCTTATTTTAAAAATTTTACCTATTTGTTGGGCTTAAACGTCTGAGGGAACCTCCACTTAAAGAAAACTAGCAATTCATTCAGAAACATATCGAGCACTGCCACACATCAGGTGCTGTGTTTATTCCATTGTGATAAACTGTACCAGGTTATTTATAAGTTATCCTTCCAAATTAAGTTTTTCTCTAATCCTTGTAGGTCAGTTCTTAAGTTAGTCTGAAGTGGCAAGGGTGGTACTGGATGTTTGGTGCTTGTATTCACCTACAAGTCTGTTGAACGCACGAAGGGAAGGATAACACTTCTCTTTTCACGGATCAAAATTTAAAAAATCCTGATTGCTCTTGCCTGTGGCATTCATCAGGCATGTATTGTGCTCACTCAAAATGTTTTTTGCTCTTTGGTTTTGCTTTCAGCTGTATCAGCGTAGGTCTTCCCAAAACAGAGGCAAATTGGCAGGACGTGATACTTGATTTGGAAAAAATTGACAATCTTATTCAAGTGAGTACTCATTTTTCCATAAACTATTTGGTATGATTGCTAATGGTGTATGCTTCTCCCCATGTTAATGAAATCTCATTTGAAATGATACTTTGTAGAAATTCATGAGCCTGGTAAAGCCTTAAGTGAAATCTTTTGCTTAAAATTTTCAGATCCTAATTGTCTTTAAAACTCAATTTATAAGTGTCCTGGTATGAAGAGCTCTCTATCACCCCAGGCCAGAGACTCTCCCTTCTCCAACAAAGAAATGGGGCAGCTGCTTGTAGGGAGCATGGGCTGACCCAGAGAAGAGGTCTCTGTCTTGTGGCTAGAGAACCCCCTCCCTCACCCAGAGATGCCAGCTGGCCTACCAGAACCCATGAGGGAAAAGAGAAAAGGGGCCCCACTGATGACTCTGGCCAGGGCCACTGCCTTCCACCACAGGGACTGTCGCAGCAGGGACCAGTGGGAGTCCCAGGGGCACCAGGTGTATCAAGCATTTCGAATTAGCACCACAAAGACTCTGAAAGCCATTGGAACCACAGCATACACACGGAAGTCTGAACCTAGACCTACACAGGGTGGCTGCATGCTGATTCAGAAGATTTAAATGGAACCAAGTCTCTTGGCATAAAGCTAAAATACCAGAACACAGCTGAAAAGCACTCATTATACCAAGAAGCAGGAACATCACAACTTGACTGAGAAATGACTCTGAAATAGACTTTGAAATGGAGATGGATTAGATGTTGGAATTATTTGACAAGGATTTTAAAGCAGCCATCATAAAAATGTGCCAACAAGCAATTACAGATACCCTTGAAACAACTGGATGAAACAAAGTCTTAGCAAAGAAGCACGATATGTAAATGGAACCAAATGGAAATGACAGAACTGAAAAATACAATAACTGAGATACAAAACAAACTGGAGAGATTCATGAGCAGAATAATGGCTATGACAGAGGAAAGACAGTGAACTTGAATATAGAGTAATAGAGAGAAAACACACTGAAAGAAATAGCCTCAGGGATCTTTGGGACAATTAAAGATCCAACTTAAAAAAAAATTGTTTTTAATTTATTCACTTGAGAGAGGGGGGAGGGTGGTGAGCTGGGGAAGGGGGAGCGCAGAGGGAGAAGGACAAGCAGACGCTGCACTGAGCGTGGAGCCTGACGTGGGACTCTATCTCACCACCCTGAGATCATGACCTGATCTGAAATCAAGAGTCAGACACCTAACTGACTGAGTCACCCAGGCACCCCAAGATCCAGCGTTCTTAGTATTAGCATCTCAGACGGAGAGGGGAAAGAGAATACAAGTAAAAGACAGAGATTGGCCAAGTTGATAAAACACAAAGCAACATTTCTCTGTCTACAAAGATTTCACTTCAAACACAATGATCTAAGTAGGTTCAAACTGTGAAGAGAAAAGAATATACTGTATTACAAAAGGTTGAAGAGTGCCCCCCCCACTAAAAATTCATGTCTACTCAGAACCTCAGAATGTGACCTTCTTTGGAAATTGGGTCTTTGCAAGTATAATTAGTTGAGAAGAGGTCCTACTGGGGTGGGGTGGGCCCTAACGCCATGACTGGCTGTCCTCATAAGAAGAGGACAGGATACTGAGAGTGACAGGGAAGAGGGCCGTGTGGGATTGGAGGCTGCTATAATAGCCACAGAAGGCCCAGGATTGCCAGGAGTACTAGATAGAGACTTGGGAAAGGTCAAGAAGGATTGTTCCAGAGCCTGCAGAGAGAACATGGCCCTACTGACATCTTGACTTTGGATCAAGCTTCCAGAGCTGTAAGAGAAACTGTTGTTGTTTTAAGCTCTGGGAAGCCGTTACGCATACAATAATTCAAAAATCAGCAGTGGCTCTCTTAGTATCAGACAAAGTACACTCCCCAGCAAGTAAAGTTACTAGAATCAAGAGATACATCACAAAATGCGGAGAGATTAATCCACCAGGAAAATTTGATCTTAAATGTGTACACATCAAAATACGAGATGCAGAAACTAATCAAACTGAAATGAGAAAGAGGCAAATTCACAATTGTAGTTGAGGACTTTACCACCTCCTAACTAACAAATGGGATGACAAGGCAGAAAATCAGAAAGGATACAGAAGAACTGGACAACGCAGTCAGCCAAGGCTACCTCATTTACACAGATGGAACATTTCACCCACCAACAGGGAATTCTTTTTTTCTTTTTTCAGGCGCCATTCACCAAGACTAAACATATCATGGACCATAAAACAAAATTTAACAAATTTATCAGAATTGAAATCATGCAGAGTATGTTCTTTGACCACAGGGGAATCAAGTAGCAGTCAATTATATAAATACCACAGGAAAATCTCCAGACACTTGGAAATTAAATAGTAGACTTCTAAATATTCCGTGGGTCAAAGATTAAGTCCCAAAAGATATAAAAATAGCACATAGACCTGAATGAAAATGAAAATACAACATGTCAAGATCTGTGGGATTCAGGTAAAGCATTCCTAAACGGGAAATTTATAAAACAAAATAGTTAGATTAGGAAAGAGGAAAGATCTCACAACAACAATATAAGTTCCCATCTCAAAAAAACTGTAGAAAGAAGAGCAAAATAAACCTAACACAAGTAGAAGGAAGGGAAAAGTAAAGATAGAGCAGAAACTAATCAAATTGAAATCAGAAAAATAATAGAGAGACTTAATGAAGCATACACTCATTATTTGGGGAAAGAATCAATAAAACTGATAAACCTCCAGAAAGCCTGACAAAGATTAACAGAGAGAGGACATAAACCATTGATATCAGAACTGAAATTAGAGACTATCGCTGTAGAATCTGCAGACATTAAAGGATAATAAAGAAAAACTTGTAAACAACTTTATTCTCTAAATTTGACAACTTGGAGGAAATGGACCAATTTCTCAAAAACCACAAACTACCAAAATGTAATGAAGACGATGTAAACAGTCCCCAAACTGCTATAACCAGTAAAGACACTGAATTCACCATAAATAAGCTCCCCAGAATGAATCCCCGGGCCCAGCTGGTTTCATTGGAGCATTTTACCAAACACTTGCAGAAAAATTAACACCAATTTTACAATCTCTTCTAAAAATAGGAGAGGGAAAACTTTCTGACTCATTTAGATAAGTATTACCCTGATGCTAAAACCAGGCAAAGATAGTATCAAAAGGAAAAACAGCAAATACCTCTAATGAACTTAGATCCAAAAATTCTCAATAAACTATTAGCAAATTAAATCTGCCTGTGTATTAAAAGAATTGTATACCATGACTGATGGGCTTTATTCCAGGTATGCAATATTGAGAAAGTCTCTGTAATCCACCTTATCAGCAGGCTAAGGTAGACTGTCACATGATCAGATCACTTGATGGAAAAACAGCATTTTAAGAAGATAGCTATTCCTAGTAAAATTTCTCAGCAAAAAAGGGAAGAGGGGTAACTTTCTCAACTTGATACAGAGAATGTGCAAAAAACCTAGAACCAACATCGTACTCAATGGGGAAAGTCTGGATGTTTTTCCTACTAAGATTGGAAACAAGGCAAATATGTCATCTCTCACCACTCTTACTCAACACAGTATTGGAATTTTAGCAAAATTGCCAAGTCAAGAGAAAGAACTAAAAGTATGTAGATTAGAAAGAAAGAAATTATAAATCACTACAAGTCTTTTTCTGAGAGACGGTGCCAATAAGTGGCCGTACATTATTTAGAGGGTGCAACTTAAAACCACAGTGACATCACAGTGCGCTTACAAGAATACTTAAATTAAAAAATAATAATAATGCTAGATGCTGGCAAGATTGTGGAGAAACTAGATCACATATTTTTTATGAGAATATAAAATTCTACAGCTACTTTAAAATAGCTTGTTTTTAATATTTTTTAAAAAATTTAATAGTTTGTTTTTTACAAAACAAAACACGCATTTGCCATATGATCCAAGCAGTTGCACTCCTGAACATTTATATTAGAGAAATGAAAACTTACATCCACACAAAAACAGGCACATGAATGTTTATAGACCTTTATCTGCAATAGCTGAAAAGTGAAAATGACCCCAGTTCCCTTCAATGGCTGAATTATATCATGGAACAATACTGAGCAATTATAAGGAAAGAATTACTGATACAACAAGTTGGATGGATCTCCAGCTTATTACTCTTATGCTGTGTGGAAAAAAGCCAATCTAGGCCAACTGTGGTACATCCATACAACAGAAAACTATCCAGCAATAAAAAGAAATGAGCTTCTAGACAGGAAAAGACAGGGAGAAACCTTAAAAGCATATCCACAAAGGGAAAGAAGCCAATCTAGAAAGGCTACCTACTGTGGTTCCAACCATATGATGTTCTGAAAAAAGTAAAACTATAGATGATGTAAACACATCAGTGGGAAATTTCCAGGGGTGAGAGGAAAGGGAGAGATGAATACATGGAGCACAGGTGATTTTTATGGTAATGACACTATTTTGTATGAGACTGTAACGGTAGATACATGTCATTATGTATTTGTCGAAACTCAGAATATCCCACCCAAGACTGAATTCCAGTGTAATCTATGGAACTTGTTACAAATGCATCAATACTGACTCATCAATTGTAATAGATGCACCTATTAATTATTAATAATTAATAATAGGAGAAACTGGGATATATGTGAACGTTCTCTACGTTCTGCTCGTGTTCTGGAAGCCTACAACTGCTCAAAAAATAGTCGAGTAAGTTTTGCAAAAAGCCAGTCTCAAAAGGTTATATGCTCTAGGAGTCCACTTATATAACATGCTTGAGATGACACAGGGATGGAGAGGAGAGAAGTGGTTGCCAGGGATTAGAAAGGTGTGGGGAGTGGGATGTGTGGTAAGAAAGGGGGTTTAGGCTCTAAAAAAGTAGGAGGGGGATTCTAATGGTGGCGGAACTGATCCGTATTGTAACTGTGGAGCTGGTTACGTAAATTTACACATCTGACGAAATTGAGTAGAACAGCACACGCCCATTAGTAGTGCACGTAAGAATGGTGAAATCTGAACGAGGCGGGTGCATTGTATCGTGTCAGTTTCCGGGTTGGGATACTGTACCGTGGTTGTGTGATGGTGAAGGGGACACAGGATCTCTGGATTTTCTCTTACAATTATTGCATGTGGATCTGAAATTATCTCAAAATAAAAAAAATTAAAAAGCGTAATTTAATGTTTTCAGTATGTCATTCTCACCATATCTAAAGCAGGGCATAGTTTTTCATATTATCTAATTTTGTTTCCTTTCAGTCTATACATATGGATACCACTCTGTATACTGAAAGTGATGTGCATGTGAGTATAGTTTATGTTTTTCAAAATTGCTGTAGGTTCCCGTTTTCAAAGGTCGAAGAAGTGTATTTCCATGAATTTACCGAAGGATGTGTAGTATTTAAAAACTAAGTTTAAAACAACTTAGTTAAAAAATAAACAAATAAAAATTAAATAAAACAACTTAGTTGTGTATCTAAACAACTTAGATATGTTGTATTTAAAAACAACTTCTGGTGTGTTCTGAAAACATGGGATCAATGAATTTTGTAAGTAATTGTTGAGGTTGTGGGACTTGGGGACGAAGAGCTACGTAGATGCTACTTTCATAACGGTACCAAATCAAAATATAAAACAGCCTTTTCCATCAATGTCAACCAAAATATGTTACACATTTTGTGATGCAATTAGATCATGATGCAATCAGATGCAAAAATCAGGTTAACTGATTCAGTTTTAAACTGTCCACCCTATCTGTTGTTTCCACTGCTGGAGTGTATCACCACCCTTAATCATATTTTCTAAAATCGCTTAAAAGAATTCATGTCCTGGGATCCCTGGGTGGCGCAGCGGTTTGGCGCCTGCCTTTGGCCCAGGGCGCGATCCTGGAGACCTGGGATCGAATCCCACATCGGGCTCCTGGTGCATGGAGCCTGCTTCTCCCTCTGCCTGTGTCTCTGCCTCTCTATCTGTGTGACTGTCACAAATAAAAAAAAAATTAAAAAAAAAAAAAGAATTCATGTCCTACATTTTGCATGAATCTCTACAATGGTCAGAAAGGGATTCTGGTTGGTTACCCTCCATGTGGGAAAAGAAATCAACACAACTCATAAAACCTATCAGAATTCAAAAATGATCTGGAACTTGTCTCAGTAGTACACTGACACGAATGATTGTAGCCACGTTGTCGGTCCTTCCCTCTGGATTGGCTGCTGCAAACCGAGAAACGACCCCTGACTTCTTCGCCTGGTGGAAGACCGACTCTGTGCCGTTGCGTGGAGAGCAGCGAGCTCACTCTCTATTAGCGCTCAATCAGAACTTCCCTGAAATAGAAGATTTTGCTCCTATGAGGACTTTCTTAGTTTTCACCAAAAACTAGGAAAAAGTGTATTCATCAACCGCTTGGCTAGTGCTGCTACACATAAAAATTGTCTTCCTCCTTTGGCTTCAGCATGTCTTCTATTTTTTTTTTTTTTTGCATTTTTTTTTTCAAAGAAGAGAGCAATTAACCACCAAAACTCAGCATCCTGAGGTTGCTCTTTTTTGCAGGAAGATAATGGTTGTGACTCTTGGGTTAAGGGAAGAAGCTGAGGTTGAAGTTTGGATTTAAACTGATTCAGCCGCTTCCTAGCAGTGTTACCTTAGAAGTCACTAAACATTGCTGAACCTGTCTTATCTATTTATTATTTTCTCTGTCTCCCTGTCTGTCTCTGTCTATCGCTCCATCTGTCTATCTACGGACAGTACCCACCCTTGTCATCCTGAGCAGCTGCTGCGGGACACACGGCATATTGCCAGTGTCAGACACACGAGTGTATTCCTTCCTCCTTTGTCCATCCCGTAAGCATTTGTGAAGCGCCGCCGGGCCCCGGCTCTGTCCAAGGCAGTGAGACAGAAAGTCAAACAAGTCACTGTCAAATCTCCGAACTTCGGTTAATGCTTCTTTTAAGTTTACGCTTTTGTTAGAGTAACCATTGTGGGAAACATACTTTTGTGGTATCTAAAAGGCATCTTTCGGGGACACCCAGGGGGTTCAGCGGTTGAGCATCTGCCTTGGGCTCAAGGCGTGACCCCGAGGTCCCGGGATCGAGTCCCACATCAGACTCCCCGCAAGGAGCCTGCTTCTCCCTCTGCCTGTGTTTCTCATGAATAAATAAATAAAATCTAAATAATAATAATAATAATAATAATTAATCATAATAAAACGTACCTTTCTGATTGGCCAGCCCACGAGTGGGTAATACTTCTCCGTTGATCTTTCTAATACATTTCTTGGAATCACTTCTGCCTCTAGAACTTTGGAACTTGCAGAGAGAGCATGATCAGCAGCTGTCCCTGTTTAAAATATCAACAACACAGTCTGATTCTCAAAATCCTTCAGTGCACTATCCATACAAATGTTTTGGGAGTCTCGGGCGCGTATTATCACCCTTTCACAAAGAGGAAATGTTCTCAGTGAGAAAAGGAGGCCTATTATTTCCATGTTTTGTAGACTTACGTTCTTTCTTCTGTATAATATGCCGTCCCTTTAGGTTGTTTCGTTGTCAGTTTGTCTCGGTTTTTATTTCAAAGCCAACAAAAAACAAAACCGTGTCCTCTGTACAACATCTTCGCAGTATAGTGGTTTTTTTTTTAATAAAATATTTGGGTCAGCTTTTTTAAAAAATCAAAATTACGTGTATATAAACATGAATAATGGAAAGATCTTTTTTTTTTCCCAAAATGATTCTTTGTAACTCTATTTTTAGCCCAGTTGCAAAGTAACCGCGATGAAGTGCTTTCTCCTGGAGTTAGGTGTTATCTCGCTCGAGTCCGGCAGTAATCCCATTAAGGAAGCAGTAGAGAACCTCATCATCCTCGCAAACAGTGATCTGTCTTCGAAGGGGGTGAGTTCTCCATGAGTCCGACCGAGCCCTGGATTTGCCCGCGAGATGCCCGGTTGCTTTAGGTCTTGGCTAGAACGTCACCTCCTCGGTGATGTCACCTCCGCGCTGCAGCCCATCCCGTGGCCTGTTCCCCCCCACCCCCGCCCCACCTGCTCTGGGGCTCTGCTCCATCCCCAGCCAGAATGCCTGTTTCAAAGGGGCAGTTACTTTTGTGGGATTTTTCACAGTGCTGTGTCCCAGCTCCCAGAACATGGCCTGGCCTACTCTAGACACTTAGCGCGCTGATGTGCAATGAGCCTACTGATGCCTAAAATACTCTCGTGGGGCGTTGCTCCCACGGCCTTGGTGGAAGGGCCGCGCCAGGCCACAGTGACGCAGCAGCACCGACGGCGGGCCTGGGCCCTGTCGCCAGGGCCTGATGTGCAGCACAGGGCACGGAAGCCGTGGGCCAGTGCGCCGTCAGAGGGGCTGCGGTGGCACGTCTGGGCCGTGCGGCTGCCGTGGCCGACTCCAAGTGGGGCCGCGCTCCGTGGACGTGCCGGGCCCGGCCCAGACTGTGCGCCCGAGAAACGTCGGCGGGCCTGCCTTCCAAATGCTTAATGCACGTAGAATCTAATTTTGACTTTTGCTGGCACGGCCTTTAGGGTTCAGACGATCTCTACGTAGTTCATGTATGATGACTACGTTTGGAATATTCTAGTTCTCCGTGAAACCGTTTGAATGACACCTTGTAGGATTCACCTAACAGTTCCAATCAACAGGTAACGGCTGAGTGAATACGGGGGGCCAGGCCCTGTGCTAAATGCGAGGGGGACAAAATGCAAAAGCCCAGAGAGTAGTAGTGTGAGAAGCGTAAAACCGCATGAAACCAGTACAGTACATGATGCGATGAGAGGGGGAGTCTGCAAGAGTCGAGAGAGAGGGACCGATTAGGGCAGCCGGGAGAAGGCCTGGGTTCAGGAATGGCCTCCGGGGAGGCGGCACCCGCGTGGGCCCGACCTGAGCGGTGGTAGCTGGAACAGCACATGAGCTCCGTCTACTTAGGTCTGTCCTTAGGGTGGTGGGGCTGGCGATGGAAGCAGGTAAGGAGCTCCCTGCCAGGCCGGGCTGGGAGCCGTGGACCTCACTCAGGTAGGGGACCCGAAAACTACTGCAGGGCAGCAAGCAGGAAGTCCCGGGTGTGATGGAGACGCCCTATTTTTCCAACGTCCTTAAACCCATGACGGGGAAAATAAGCCTAAGTCAAATCCTTTGTTCTCTTGTCCAGTGATTCTTCCTACTTAGATATTAATTTGCCCAAATTTTGTATGTCTCGGGACCTCCCTGGATGGTTCAGATGATGAGATATTTCCAGCAAAGAGATACCATTAGCCTTTCCAATCTGATCCTTTCTGTTTTATTTGTTAGAATATAACTGAAACGGGATGCAAAGAATGTGAAGAACTGGAGGAAAAGAGTATTAAGGAGTTTTTGCAGAGTTTCGTGCATATCGTACAAATGTTCATCAACTCCTCTTGATGGCAAAGGATCCTCTTCGGCATTTCTGCAATTAACCAGCGTCTTCCCACGGCTCGAAGGCCGTGAAACCCTCTGCAGGTCTCTCGGGCCGCCCGAACGAATTTTTCTAACGAGAGGATGATCCGGAATCTCGGGTCGGATGAACTCTTAGAAAGTGAAGGCAGAAAAATGGCATCGAGTGACGTGTCCGTGAACTGTCCTCGTGCTGATTTTGTTCATTCATTCTTAATTTATTACCGACATTGTACATATCTGTAGCATACTATAGAGCATTGAATAAAATCGTGTACATACATACCCAATGTCCTTCGGAATTGCACTGATATTCACCCCTTATAAGAAAACGGGGGGTCGCTCGTTCATGGGTGACGGGCGCATCGCGCAGCGCCCTACCTCCACCAGTACGGAGAACCGTGTATAGAAAGCCCGTGATGGTAATGAGGTTTATATTTCACGCTTTCCCGAGTGTACGTATTCTATTTTCACATTTTTTTTGCCGCGTTTGTATGATAATAATAAGGAAAAGCCTGTTGATTCGTGAGAGCCAGCAGTATCCGACAGACAATAATTGTTTATATATTTTTGCACTGTACTGTCTGAGACTTACAAGCTCTTTTTTTTTTAATAAAACTATGACTAAAATGAAATATTTTTGGCGCGTCACCGTTTCTGTCGCCCAGTTCGCCTCTGGGACTTACAAGGCTGGGAATTGATGGTCTACGAATCTCATTTCTCTCCATGGCTGACTACGGACCAGCTCTCTATGGAGACATCCTTGTATCCCCCGGTGCCCGCCCACGCTCGTGCATCCCCATTACGGGTCAACGTGCGCCTAAGCATGTCTTTCAAGGTAGTTTTGGGGACGTCGATATCCTATTTGACTTTCAAAGTGTCTTGTGTCAGCCTGATATCGGTCCATACGAACAGTATTTGACAGCCACACTTTAAGGTTTAGGGGTTGGGATTGTGGCAAGGTTTTTTGTTTTAATGTCATCCCAAATGGATTTTTAAGATCTACCTTTCATTTTTTACCCCCTAGCTTTCCCATTGATGGAGGATAGGAAAAATGCACCATTTTTAACTGCAGGTTGCTGATCCAATCCTTAGACAAAAGTTAGCCAACTCCCGATGTTTGTGGGGACGGGGAAGGAAGACCGTGATGGCAGTCACGTCACCAGGACTATTTTGTAGTGACCGGTGACCCATTCTGGTTTTGTGAGCACACACCGGGGATTAGACCCCAGAGCTCAAAATTGGGATCTCTCCCGTGTTACTTGGTATGGGTCACTTCAGTTCATCTTAAGGAACTCAGGGCATAGGAAAGAGCTAATGGGGACGCCCCGGGTGGCTCAGCGGTTGAGCACCTGCCTTGGGCTCAGGCTGTGACCCTAGGGTCCCGGGATCGAGTCCTGCATCGGGCTCCCTGCATGGAGCCTGCGTCTCCCTCTGTCTCTCTTTGTCTCTGCGTCTCTCATGAATAAATAAATAAAATCTTAAAAAATAAAAGAACAATCGTGTAAAAACCTACATTTTATCGTTCAGGCCTGAATTCTTAACGAGAACAGTTTTCCATTTGTGTCTCAAAATTTTTCCTTCCTGAACCGTCCCCCTTGATTAACCAGCCTAACGTTATTTGCATAGTGTCTTTATCTCACCTATTGCCCTAAATGCTGAAAGCATTTGCCTGGTGTAACTTCTAATAAAAGGGCAAATCCATAGGCTTGGAACCTCAAATAGTAAGGGCAAGCCTAGTAAGACTGTAATAGGTTTACAGTTCAAAGTCATTTTGATGGATTATATTCTCACCTTTTTAAAAATCTCAAATAAAGGGGCATCTGGGCGTCTTAGCAGTTGAGCATCTGCCTTCGGCCCAGGGCGTGACCCCGGGTCCCGGGATCGAGTCCCACGTCAGGCTCCCTGCATGGAGCCTGCTTCTCCCTCTGCCTGGGTCCCTGCCTCTGTGTGTGTGTGTGTGTGTGTGTGTGTGTCGCATGAATAAATACATAAAATCATTAAAATATTCTTTTTAATTTTCAAAGAAAGCAAAAGATACATGAGACAATATCATGTCTGCACCCTCCCTGGCAATGAGCAAAAACAGGTTAGAAGGCGGAGCACACGGCAGCGCAAACGGAGCCACCACGTAACTGGTGAGCCCGGGAGCGTCGAGCCCCAGCTGCAACTGAGTTGCACGGACTCTCATTTTTCCCCAGAGAATCGCTGGCATCGCTTTCTTTTGCCGCGATCGCTCTTGTCGTGCGGTGGGGCTTGTGATGTGTCCCGACGTGTCATCCTCTCTGCCCTGCAAATTCAAAGGCTCCCAGAGTCCAACCAGCATATACGACAGGTGGTGGGTCCCCACCGCGGCCCCAGGGACCCCAGAGAAAGCCTGTGGGCCCCGGGTCTGCGCTCTCTCGGGCTCAGCGGAGTTCGCTGCGTTCGTAGGAGTCTCAGTCTCCCGACCCATGTCACAGATGCATATTTTGCCCAGAGGAAATTCCATTTCCATAGAGATTTAGTTCAATGCTTCTGAATGTGTCCGATGATCGGGTTTTATTTTCACCGAGGAATTTATTATGCAAAGCCAACTTCGGCTTCGTTGAAGAGTCCCCCGGTCGTATAATCTGTCTGATGCAGCCTAGAAGAAAAATTAGCAGATCGTTAATAAGGACCTGGTTTTGTCCTTGCTAAGGAACCAGCGGGGACCGGCCCTGAACAGCTCCCACGCAGACGGCCGGTCCTCCGAGCCCATCGGCCTCAGCTCGGCCTGCACGACTCGCCTCAGCGGGTCGTTCCTCGCTCCTGTGTCTGCACACCGTGAGCAAAACCTGGACGGCCGGGCGGTAACCGCTGGCCGAGTCCCTGTCACCCGAGAAAACTCGGCCCTGATGCCGGGCCAGCGCCAAGGGTGCCCGGGCAGGGCGGTGAAGCCCCCCGCGATGGCACAGCCTGAGTTGCAGGTGCCAAGCGGGGCCTCCGGGGCGAAGCGTCTGCTGAGCTGTGTGCACGGGCCCCAACGGCCCTCTGTCTCAGCTCCCTAATCCTGGGTTTCAAGATATGCATGGAAAAATCGAGGGGACACTGTCACACAGACGAAGGTCGTGCATTTATCCCCGCAGATGGTGTCTGGGCGTCAGATGCTCCCGGAGGACCCGGGTTCACCTGCACTCATGTGCCTCCGTCACGTCCCCCTCCAGAGGGAGGCTGCAGCGCACCCAGGAGCCCGGGCCCGGGCCGGGGTCGGGGGGCTACGGGGCAAGCTGGCAGGAGGAGCGCTCGCGGGTCCTGAGGCCAGCAGGGCCACCACCAGTAAGGGTGTCCTGTGTCCCCCAGGACAAGGTCCCTGCCCCGGCAGGCGCGGCAGGTGCACCCGCTGGGTGTCTGCCCGAGTCAAGACCCCGGGCTGATGGAGGTGCCTCTGGCATCCCCGGTGAACCCCCAGCAGCTCGGCGGGGATGGCCGTGGGCAGCCCCTGGACACTCGCTGCCCACGACGCCCAACTGTTGGCAGGACTTGGCACTCGAGGCACCGATGTCACCAGCATCGATGCGTCAATCCAGTGCTGGGTCCCAAGGCCAAGCAGAATCGATCCGTGGTCAGACTCCTGACCCCAAGAAGGCTTTTTTTTTTGGGGGGGGGAAGATTTTTTTTATCTTTTGGTATTTATTTATTTATTTTTAATTTTTTTAAATTTGTTTTTAATTTATTCTTTTAAAGGATTTTTAAAATCATTTCTTAATGAGACTTATTTGCTCGAAGGGGGGCCGCTCATGTTCATCAGGAGAACTGGGGTAGAGGCGGGCGTCGGGATACCGGGCCACTGCTCTGCTGTCTGGTGGCCAGACGCGGTTGAGACGGGAAGCGGAGCGTGCAAGGTGGGGGCCTTGGAGGGTGGTGGGTGCAGGGGGTGCAGGGGGGCCGGGGGCCGCTCCGAAGGCACAGCCACACACACAAGCAGGCCTGGGGGGATTGGCCGCGCGGTGGTGGAGAAGACACAGGTCTGGGATGTTTGCGGAAAGGACAAGCAGCAGCAGCCAGGGCCGCCCAGGGGACACCGGGTGTTGGAGCAGCGCTGGGCGCCCGGGACGGGGCACGTTCCCAAGGACCTTAGGGGTCACCGCGCGGGCTGACGGGGCGGCTCTGGCTCCCTCACACTCCTGGGCTCCTGAGAGTCCTCAAAGCGCCCTCGTCTGTATGATCAGGTCTGCGAAGAGCTTCTGTCCTCGCGGGTGTAGATGACACGAGCGCAGACCCGGAGACGTCTTGCTGACGCTGTTGACGGGGAGACACAAGGTTGGAGAGGAGCCGCCCGAAGGGCTCGGCCGTGTTCAGCTCTGTCTGCTTAAATGCCCTGTTGCCCCTCACAGTTCCTACCAAACAAGCACGAGCGTAAAACTTGGGGTGGAAAAATTATCTGCGGTTGAAGAAATCAAAACAGGGCTTACGCATGGACTTTCATCCCGTAGTTTGATTATTTTTTTTCTTCGCACGGTTCTATCCCGGCGCTTTGTTTGCTTTGCCCAGATGGCAAATGCACCATTAAGTTTATTCAGCCTGAATTAATTATGTTTTTATAGCAGAAGAAAAGCCTCTCCTTGTGACAAGGAGGATGTTTGCGCTGTATTTATGAATAAATAAAGGCCGCTGTTAGACACAGCATTAGTCGTGGCATCGCTCGAAGCCTCTCGTGACCAAGCATCCGCCGTTTTCAGCAGGACCGGGGCTCCCGGCGGCCCAGCGTCTGTGAGCACCGGGCCGTGGTCCACGCTGCTGTGGGACCAAACCATCGCCGCTTCTCTAGAAGGATCCAGCCCGAGTCACAGGCCGTGGCCGCCTCTGCTGGTCCTTGGGCCGTGACTTCTGAGCGTGTGGCAAGTGCAGTGTCGGGCCTCGGGGACCGCAGGCCACCACGATGGGGCCGTCCCTGCCGTCGGCGGGGCGCCTTGGGGGAGCGCCATGGCCAGGCTGGCAGAGGGGCTGCCTCGCCCCAGAAGGCAGGGCGGGTCTGCAGGGCGCAGGAGCCTGGGCCCCCTGAAGGCTTGCAGGGTGCGGGCAGGAGGGCACGAGGACGTGACGACAGCCTGGCCCCGCACGTGGCCCACCCACCGGGCCTCGGGCTCCAGGCCCAGCATCCAGGCCGCCCCCCGAGCTCCAGGGCACCTCTCAGCACTCCACACCCTGCTTCCCACCCCGAACCCAGAGTGCACTTGAGGAGTGGCGGCCACCCTGGGCACGGACTGTCCCTGCACACTGTCCGCCCGGGGGTCACGCAGGCCAGCCTGCCCTCCTCCAGCATCCCCGGGTGCCGGTGGTAAGAGCCCCCTGGAAACCGGTTGGGGAGTCGGGGTCATAGAGGACAGCTCGGGTTCCACGGCCTGCACTCCCATTAGGCCCCTGGGGATTGGGGACGCGGCTCCCGCACACTCCTCAGCGGCCCGGGCCAGCGGGGGCTCCGCACCTGCCCAAGTCAGAGCCCAACGTTATCACGATGTGATTTTTAAAATTTTTTTTTATAATTTTTTTATTGGGACATTTTTTTTATTAGAGTTCAATTGGCCAACACAGAGCATAGAGCATTTTGTCACCCTCACAATGTGATTTGTGCTTGACACTTAAAACTGA